GGAGACAATTACCAGAAGAATCAAAACCAGAAATGATTAAGCATGACAAGTGCTTGGCACTGAGGTTAGGGGGACATGCAAGGAGGGTTTTACTCTTCATATTATACTTATTGAATGCTTTGACTATTCATTATCTATATCATATTTTACTATGTGTCCAGAATGCTCATCTCAACCTATAATCAATCTCAATGGCCACAACAATCCATTCCCAAAGAATTTTTGTGATTTTTTAAAATAAAAATCATTTTATTTTTATTTTTTTAAAGATATTATTTATTTGTCAGAAAGAGAGAGAGGAAGAGAGAGAGCACAAGCAGGGGGAGAAGCAGGCAGAGGGAGAAGCAGGCTCCCCACTGAGTAAGGAGCCTGATACGGGACTCGATCGCAGGACCCTGGGATCATGACCTGAGCCGAAGGCAGACACTCAAATGACTGAGCCACCCAGGTGTCCCTAAAAAATCTTTTTAGAGGGAAGACATTTGTTCTTACAAATTCTAATGGTCATATTTCACATAAGTTGTTAATTTCTTTTCTACCTCATATTTGTGGCTTTGATAAAATGCAAAATTATTGTAGTTCACAAAATCGAATTGCTATTCATCACTCTCCAGGCCACAGCTTTACTTCTTAAATACTCAATTCTACAATTTCTGTGATCCTTAAAGTTCTATCTTTTCTCGATAGCAAAAGCGGGAACTTATGTTGTTGGTGACATCTGAACATCCCCATGTAAGGAGGAACTGGCCAAACCATTTCCCATGGGGAGCAGGAGATGGGCAGTGTGAGGGACATGGGCACTTTTAAATTTACATTCTTTAGCATTTGACCTTTTTGGTAACAAGGAGCATATATTTCTTTTGTAATTAAATAAAACCAATAAAAGGTGGATTAAATATAATAAAGCTAAATGTTTGGCACCAGCTTTTTAGGAAAACAAGACCAAAATCCCTGACAAGGCCTCCAGAGTCCTTCATGATGGGCTCCATCCAGCACCCTGACCACTCATTCCCCACTCATTGTCTGCACCCCGGTCTCACTCTGCTTCTTTGAGCCCTCAAGCATGCCACCCTCCCTCCTATCACTGGCTTTTGCAACATGCTGGGTTCCCTGCCTAAATTGCCTAAAGTGCTTCACCCTCCCCTGACCATTTTTGCCTTCGGGTCTCAGCTAAAGTACCACTTTCTCAGGGAATCTCCTGTGGTAGCTTGTGTCTTCCAAAGGTGGTCTTAATATGTCCTATCCCATATCCTCTTCTGCAGCATGACCTTGCCACTCCCCTCTCAAGAGAGGGAGTTGATTTCTCCACCCCCTTAAACCTGGGCAGACTTAAATGACATACTTGAACAGAATATAGCAGAATGCTGTAGCCTCAGAAGGATAGGCTCCAGAAGTCTCAAGAAGACCTGCAGCTTCCATGCGGGTTTTCTGGAACGCTCACTCTTGGAACCCAGTGCCCTGCTGTAGTAAGTCCAAGTCACATGGAGAGACCACATGCAGACGCCCTCGTTGACAGCCCGGTCCAGTGCCCTGCCAAGACCCTGTGAGGCAGCCATCTTGCATGGGTAACCATTCCGGTGACTGCGGCCCCAGCTGACATCTGCTAGCAACTGCATGATAGACCCCAAGCAAGAACCACTGAAGTGAGCCCAGCCAACGCACAGAACCACAAAAGATATAATGACTGTTTTAAGTTCTGAGGGTTGTGTTTCAGAGCAATAGATATTCAGTCCATCTTCTCAAGAGGGTGAGGCCCCTGTTTATACTCTCATGGCCCCGCCTTTCAAGAATAACTAATGGTAATAATACAAGTCCACTGCGAGCCAGGCACCTTATAAACACCATCTGACTCAGTCCTCACAAGAATCCTGTGCAGAAAAGCAGGATTTTTTTTCAGTCCTTGAGTTACAGAAGCAAGGAAGGTTGAGAACACTTCCCCTCAGTACTCAGCTAGGATGTGAGCCCAGGGTGCCCCTTCATTGCCCTCAACAGGGTTCTAATTATATCTTTGTAATTATTTGGATTAATGTCTCCTGCTCCTCAAAACCAAATTGTGAGCTCCACAGGGGTTGGAACCATGTCTGCTTTTTTTCATGGTGATCCCTAGTGTCTAAAATGTGCTCAATAAAATCAGACTGAGTAAATCTCAGTGGCTTCTAGGGAGCTCATGTTCAGTGTGAAAGAGGAATAAAATGTCAATTACCTTATTATTCTTTATGACATAGTACCCACCTTGTAGTTTAGAGGAGAAATATATATTTGGAGTTCAGAAGAGTATAGATATAATGCTTGGGGACACAGACTTCAGAGCAGGCAGATCTGGGTTCAAATCCTGACTTGAGCAGTCTGTGACCTTGGCTAAAGTCATCATTTCTTCACCTATAATATTGGATAAATTCCTTGCGGTTGTTGAGAGGATGAAATGACATATGCAAAGTCCCCAAACACAGCCATTGGCACACCACCCCAACAAAGGGTCTCACTGTCAAACATAACAAATAGAAAACTCTTCCAACTCGTGGTAGATGTTAGGTCTGCTCAGATCAAGCCCTAGTTCAGGCACGAGCAGCTACTGAAAATGGTAGAGAGAAATTGAGCCTGGGTTTTCTCACTCAGTGGGTGATGCTCAGGGGAGCGATGCTGTTGACCAGGTTCAAATTTGCATTCTTTGTTTCAACCCTTGATTAAAGATTCAATGCAAAGTATTCAATATATCAAATGAGGCCACATGATAAAGACTGCAAGCCGGACGACTCTCCCCAGCCAGGGCTCAACGGCCCCACCTCCACGCAGGTGGTGAGCATCCTCCCTAGGATGCAGGCCACCCAGCTGGGGAGGGACTCTACCCGGGTCCAGACTCCCAGGCCACGTGCACCCTGAGATGGAGGGGGTGAGCATTTGGGGCTTAGAGGCTTTCTTTCCCACTGTTCAGAAGCTGCAGCGGCTGAAAGCAGAGAAGAGACCAACACCTGCAACAGCTCAAGTAACAGAGGATCCATCGGACAAGCAGATGCCTCGGGATCTACTCCGTGGACAGGTACTCCACGCAGCTGCTGGGGACCTGGCACTCCACTCTGCTTGCCTGTTGCCTGTGGGATGTCTCATTTCCCAATGAACTGACCAGGCATTTGCCATAGTCTGTGCATCAGGGGATGACACACAGCCTGTGTGGACAGTGTGAGTAATGTAGGCATTAGTCAAACTAAAGGGCATTATTTGTATTTACAATAAGAGACTTATGGGGAGATCCCCTCATTTAAGGAATGTAGATAACAGAGGGGAGCCAGCATGTCACCCCAATGTCGCCACAATTTATGAACTCAGGAGCATGACGCACTTTTGACCAGTGGGGTTAGAATAAGGCCCCCACACGTTCAATTCAGAGCAGGCCAGTTAGTCCTTTATAAAACTGCTTACAAAGATCATAAATCATAACCTTGGCCCTTGGCCATGTGACAAACGGTTCCCTTTTCAGTCTGAATGCGGGACGGAAGACCGTAAGTAGCTCAGTTAGCCATGAACGTGTGCTCCCAATTGAAGCCGCCATCTTGACCGAAGTGGGAGGGCCTCACTGGGCAGGGGCTAGGCAGACAGGAGGCACAGGGCAGCTTTGGGAGCTACTCCTAAACAAGTGTGCAACCTTTTTCCCATCACGTGGCCACTTCCTTTGAAAAGATGGATCAAAAGAAGGCTGATCTTTTTCTTAATCAAGGGAAGGTGGGGTAAATCCAGGGCTAGGTGCAGCGCCAACCCTGCGCCATCAGACTTTGTGACACGGGGCAGTGCATTGTATCGTTCTTGTCTGCAACTCCTGCATCTGGGAAACAGTGTCAGACACAATCATCTCGGACTCCTTCGGTCCTAAAGTTGTTGACTCCGCACCTGGAAGAACTACAGCAAATCACAGGTGCCTTGCTCTCACTCATTCAAGTCACGTCTTCGATTAACGCCCGCCATGGCTATAAATGTAGCATTTGTTCCAATTTTGTTATATTTTAAGAGCATTTTTTTTTATTACTTCTGGATTTCACTTTAAGTGGAATATTGCTATTTACTTGCCAGCTAAGTTCAAGGATTGCTAACATTAGTCTAAATTATACATTGTTTTATTTCTCATTCTATGAAACTACTTTTAATTCTTCGCTCTTTTCCCTTTCCTTTTCCTCCACCTCAGGGTAGAGTTCCTCTCTGAGCTCAGAGCCAAAGCTACCGGCCGGCTGTTTGCTGGTGTGTGCAGGGAACCGTGCTATTATTCAAGTAACAGATAGGTTTAATTTTCTAACTGGAATTATATCTAGCCGAGAGCCAGTGGAGATGCATACCTTAACTTAGGCACGCTATTAGAATGCAAATGACAAGAACGGAGCAGAGAAAGTGTTTTTAAAGAGGATATTTAGGAGTCTGGGCAGAAATAAATTAAACATATCAGCCTGAGCATCTTCCTAACAGTGAGGACGTAGCAGATTCCTCATACTTAATCTGGCTCCCAGACCTGAACCACCGAAAAGAAAATGCGCAAATCAAGAAGGGTTGCTGAAGATTTAGGTAGCTTTTACTCTTCCAAAATCTGAAAGCAAGTTGGGTTTGGGAGCAGCGGTAATTAGGCTGCAGTGTCCGGTTATCTTTTCAAAAATAGCACAGTGTCACTCAGTTAGAAAATAAAGGCTTGGCTTAAAATCCCACCTGGCCCAGGGCAGCTCCGAGTGCCCCTGCCCCTCTCACTGCCTCTGGGGTCCTCTCCACATGGTTGCGGGCACTGTTTCCGGGACAGTGAGAACCACCGAAGCGGAGGGAGGGGGCCGGGTTCGCGGTACCAGCAGTCAGCTGCCCTGGGGCAGAGTCGTGAACACTTTCCTCGAGGCAAATCTGTTAATACCACACAAGCAACTCACTTGTGACAAAGCTGTTTAACAACTGGCTACTCTGGAGTGTAGAATATTTTTCACTAGAAATTTTGAAAGTTAAACTTTCATGAAATGCAGGTACTGCTACTGGAGAAATATCATAAAACATCTCTTTAATGTGAACACTACTTCATACAATGAAAAACTATTTACAGTGTGTTGCTTCCAGACAGGTTGCCGTTCCATCGCATGGCTACCCAGCGTGCATCTTCAGCGGGGGAGCTTCAGTCCTGTATGTTCTCCTTGTACTCGATGGCTCTCCAGGGCCCCTGCGGACTCGGGGCATCTGTCCACTTACATTCTCCCTAGTAATTATGGCTCAGCAGGCATGCCACCAAAATCATCTATAACCCAGAGACTCTGGCAATCATCTATAAACAAAAGGCGTAGATTAGGTTTCTCTCCAATAAATACTACTTTTGACAATACAATCCATTTCTGTCTCAAGAAATTGTTTTCAGCCAGGGAAAATATTTTTTTTTTTTCCCTCATGGAACTAGAGCGAATAGTCTTGTTGTTCACACTGGAACTGTTAGGATGTCTTTGTATACAAATATAGCATATTTTGGCCAGGAATATAATTTCTTGTTAAAGAGTTTATTTGCCTTCACACGCAGAATTGCTACATACATTCACAGTTTTAATAGACTGTAATTAGCTATTCCAGTTGTGCTTTAAAATCCCAAGTATTATTTTCATTAGTGAGTGCAAAGCAAATGTCCCATTTGACCACAATTGGTCCTAGAGTTATAAACTCCATAATGGTTTCTAGAAAATTCCTTCAATCTCCAGTTTCATCATTTGCTTTTTCAGGTATGACTTCCAGGCTCCGGCGCGGCTTCTGAACGTCGGCATTTTCTGTGCCTGGTTTATTCAGCCCACATGAAAGAGCAGCATAATGGATTTGTTTCAGGTTCTCCAAAGTCTCGTTCTTAGCGTATTTCAAAAGATCCGCTTGTCCCTGTAACAAGACACGCAATTAAATGTTAGGTGTGACAGGACTTCTTGCTGCAGTCTGACATTATAGGTCTTCCACTGAAACAGAAATATTTTGATGCCGCAAGAGGACATATATATTAGTTGATACTGGCTCTGCATCCGAATAGGTCAATTTTAATAAAGAAAAGTTTGTTTTCCCAGTTTTCCACACCAAACTCCAAGAGTGTGCTGCCTCTTCAGTCCTTTCTATTTATCAATCTGAACAGAATTCTGTGTGTGTGGTCCACTGCTGTCTACCCTGGTTAGAATTATATCTTTTGCTAAATTGTTTGGCCCATCTTGGTTTTTCCCTTTTAAGGTTTGCTTTATTTTTGGCTTTTCATTCTGAAATGAGTATAAATTCATAGAAGGACACAAATATAGTACAGAGAGGTCTTATATACTTTTTCCCGAATTTCTCCCAACGGTTCCATCTTACCTAACTATAGTCCAAGATCCAAACCAGGCAGCTGACACAGGTAGAAGGCATGTGTACAGCTCTGCGTCACTTCCTCCCATGGGGGATTCACGTAACCACCACTGCAACCAACACACAGAGCTCATCTGCCGCCACAAAGGTCTCCCCGGTACGATGACGCCATAGTCACACCCATCTCCGTTCCCCCCACCATCCCTAGCCCCGTGACCACCCTGAGTCTGTTCTCCATTTATAAAGATGTGCTTTGGAGGCAAGCTTTGGCAGATAGGCACACAGCAGGTTTTCACTGACTATTTGCTAGAGAAGGAAGGAAGGAAGGGATTCTTTGCTTTGGATAAACTTTCTTAGCCAAATTTTAATTTCTTTTATAGGGTGTGGCCATCAATTTAACATATATGCAGTCTCACCACATACAGGTCAAAACACAATGGGATAGACCGAAGCGCAGTCACTGGGAGTCTGTCAGCCTCATCACTCTTGACATGTTGACCAGAGCATTCTTTTGCTGGGGGGGGGGGGGGGGGGGCAGCTGTCTTGTGCATCTTAGGCTGGTTAGCAGCGTCCCTGGCTTTTATCCACTAGAGACCAGTAGCACACCCTCAGCTGTGACAACCCAAATGTCTGCGGATGTTGTCAAATATCCCTGGGGGTTGAAACTGCCCATATTATCAGCCAATCATTAAGATTACTGGTTAGGAGAAATGATGTGGTGCTCCACTGGAAATTCCAACTTTCCTACTTTGGTCTTTTGTTGTTTTTCCTTCCTACCTTTAATCGCCTTCCATTAATAGTCTTTCTACTTATTCTATTACCTTCTCTTCTTATTTTTCTTGTTTGCTATTTTTTTTTCCTCCCCTCAGGCTCTAAATTTATTCTATTATTCTCTTTATCATCCTTCCATAGTTTGGCTTTTTCTTTGTCATACTTACGTCCTTGGTACTATCCCTTCTTCCTCCCTGTTTTTTTTTTTTAACTGACTCCCAATGTGCATCTCCATTAAAGTACTCCCATACAACAAAAGCTGGGGGTCAGCTGCCAAGGGTAACAGGTAAGGAATTAGCTTGGCAGCAGCTGGACTATAATCAAATCTCAGTCTCTGGTGAGACCAAATTGCAATGTAATTTTAAGCTACTCGGAGGCCAGAATCCACAGAATGGTTTGCTGTTTACCACTTACTGTTCATGATTTTCCTGCTTTACAAAGACCTTTAATTAGTAACTATAAATAGATGTTCCACTGCTTAGTTTAATTGAAGGAACTTCATTTTTTATTCATTCTTACTAGTCACTGGATTCATATACTGAGATATTACAAGCAGTAAGGTCTTTGCATATAATATAGCATATTGTGCCTAAAATACAATTTCTTGTTAAAAGAGTGTATTTGCCCTCACATGTGGGATTGCTACATACATTTATGGATAATAGATTGTAACTAGATACTCCATTTGTGCTTTGAAGTTCCAAACATTGCTTTTTAAAATTAATAACTTTATTTTTTAGAGCAGTTCTAGATTCACAGCAGAAGCGAGCAGTAAGTACAGAGGCAGCCCACATGCCCCCATCCCCACAACAGGCACAACGGCCTCCACGACTGACACCCTGCCCCACCGTGGTACGTCCGTTCGTTGTAACCGATGAGCCTACACTGCACATTGTTATCACTCAAAGTCCGTAGTTTACATTACGGCTCACTCCTGGTGGTGTACATTCTACAGGTTTGGACAAATGTCTAATGACCTGTATCCACCCATTACAGTATCACACAGAGTAGGTTTCACTGCCCTCAAAATCCTCTGTGCTCCACCTACTCATCCCTCCCTTCCCCCGAATCCCTGGCAACCACTGATCTTTTTACTAACTCAATAGTTTCGCCTTTTCCAGAATGTCATATAGCATGTAGCCTTTTCAGATGGACTTCTTTCCCTTAGTATTATTATGCATTTAACTTTCCTCCATGTCTTTTATGGCTTGATAGCTCATTTGTTTTTAATGCTGGATGTACCACAGGTTATTTGCCCATTCACCTACTGAAGGACATCTCAGTTATGACCAAGTTTTGGCAATTATGAATACAGCTGCTATAAGCATCCATGTGCAGAATTTTGCGTGGCGTAAGTCTTTGATTCATTTTGGTAGATACCGAAAGGAGTGTGACTGATGTATCATACAGTATGTTTAGTTTTGTAAGACACTGCCATACTGTCTTCCACCAGGGCTGGGCCATTTTGCATCCCACCAGCAGTGAATGAGGGTTCCTGCTGCTCCACATCCTCACCAGCATTTGGTACTGTCAGTGTTTTAGATTTTGGTCATTCTAATAAGCAAACCTTGATGTCTCATTTTGTTTTAATTCACAGTTTTCTAATATTTAACACTGAACAACTTTTCACATACCTACTTGCCATCTGCATATCTGCTTTGGTAAAGTGTCTGCTCAGGTCTTTTGTCCATTTTTAAATCAGATTGTTCATTTTCTTATTGTTGAATTTTAAGAGTTCTTTGTATATTCTGGGCAACAGCTGTTCATCAGATGTGTCTTTTACAAGTATTTTCTCCCGGTCTGTGGCTTGTCTTTTTGTTCTGTTGTCTTTTGCAGAGCAGAGATTTTTAATTTTAATAAAGTCTGGTCTTATGAATTCTTTCATTTATGGATTGTGCTGTTGGTGTTAGATTTAAAAAGTCATCACTGTACCCAAGGTCATCTAAGTTTTCTCCTATGTTATCTTCCAGGAGCTTTATAATAAGTTTCCATTTTACATTTATGTCTATAATCTGTTTTAACTTAATTTTTGTGCAGGTGTAAGTCTGTATGTGTGTGTATATATATATATATTTTTTTTTTGCATGTGGATGTTTAGTGGTTTCAGCACCACTGTTTAAAAGAATATCTTTGTTCCATTGTATTGCCTTTGCCCCTCAGTCAAAAATCAGTTGACTGCATTTATGTGGGTCTATTTCTGAGCTCTCTATTCTGCTCTACTGATCTAATTATCTATTCTTTCACCAATATCACACTGTCTTGATTTCTGGAGCCTTATAGTAAATCTCAAAGTAGTGTCAGTCCTCTGACTTTGTTCCTCTCCTTTAATACTATGTTGGTTATTCTGGGTCTTTTGCATCTCCATATAAACTTTAGAATCAACCTGTCAACATCCACAAAATAACCTGATGGAACTTTGATTGGGATTGTGTTGAATCTATAGCTCAAGTTGGAAAGAAATGACATTTTAAAAATATTGAGTCTTCTTAACCATGAATAGGAGATGTCTCTCCATTTTTTCATTTCTTCTTTGATATATTTCCTCAGAGTTTTGTAGTTTTCCTCATATAGACCTTGTACGTATTTTGTTAGATTTATACCTAAGTGTTTCATTTTTGGAGGTTCTAATATAACTGGTGTTACGTTTTTAATGTCAAATTACTCTTGTTCATTGTTATTATCTAGGAAAAGTGATGGACTTCTATACACTAACCTTGTATCTTGCAACATTGCTATAATTGTTTATTAGTTCCAGGAGTTTTTTGTCAATTCTTTTGGAATTTCTACATAGACAATCATGTCATCTGTGAACAAAGACAGTTTCACTTCTTCCTTCCCAATGTACACCTTTTATTTCTCTTTCTTGTCTTATTGCATTCGCTAGGACTTCTAGTACACCGTTGAAAAACAGTGGAGTCAGGGGATATTCTTGCCTTGTTCCAGATCTTAGTGGGAAAGGTTTGAGGTCTCACAAGTATGATGTTAGTTATAGGTGTTTTTTAGATGTTCTTTATCAAGTTGAGGAAGTTCTTCTCTACTTCTAGTTTGCTGAGAGGTTTTTGTTTTGTTTTGTTTTGTTTTAAATCATGAATGGGCATTGGATTTTGTCAAATGCTTTTTTTCCATCTATTCAGATGATCATGTGATTTTTCTTCTTTAGCCTGTTGATGTGATGGATTACATGAACTGATTTTCAATTGTTATACCAACCCTTCATACCTGGTATAAATCTCTGGACATAGTGTATAATTCTTCTTATACATTGCTGGATTCAACTTTTTAATATTTTCTTGAGAATTTCTACATCTATGTTCATAAGAGATACTGATCTGTAGTTTTCTTTTCTTGTAATGTCTTTGTCTGGTTTTGGTATTAGGATAATGCTGGCCACATAGAAGGTATCAGAAAGTATTTCCTCTGCCTCTATTTTCTGGAAGAGATTGTAAGAAAAAACTGGTATGATTTCGTCCTTAAATGTTTGCTAGAATTCACCAGTCAACCCATGTGAACTGGTGCTTTCTGTTTTAAAAGGTTATAATAAGGCGTGCCTGGGTGGCTCAGTCAGCTGGGCATCTGCCTTCGGCTCGGGTCTTGATCCCAGGTTTCTGGGATCGAGTCCTGCGTTGGGCTCCTTGCTCAGTGGGGAGTCTGCTTCTCCTGCTCCCTCTGCCTGCTGCTCTCCCTGCTTGTGCTCTCCCTCTCTCTCTCTGTCAAATAAATAAATAAAATCTTTAAAAAAAGGGTTATAATTGTTCATTCAACTTCTTTAATAGAAATAGGTC